TCTCTCTCTGTCAAATAAATAAATAAATAAAATCTTTAAAAAAAAAAAAAAAAGAAAAGGACTAGGTGGGCCCAGATTTACTAAGATGATGTTCTCTTCTCTGTGCCAGATGGAACGGGGCTTGAATCAGACATGCAGACATGCAGTTGAACTGGGCCATTCCAGACAGCGTGCGAAGCCCTGGGCTGAGCACTGTCATTTATTTCTAGAACAATCCTGCCGAGCAATTAGCCTCCTCCCATTCTCAGAGAATAAAACAAAGGCTGGGGAAGGGGGAGTCACATGCCTGAAGGTGGCCTGTCTTATAAGTGGCAGAGATGGGATGTAAACTCAGGGCTGACTTCAAGGCCCGTGTTCCACCATAAAAAAATGCTAATATATGAACAACACTGGTTAACTTTCAGCGAGCACTTCCCGTGGGTCCTGCCTCATGCCTAAGACTACAAGCATCCTCGTGTTTAAATCTCACACCACCCGATGAGGGAGATTCTGTTATTTTGCCCACTGTTACAGGTGAGGACACCGAGGTACAGAGAGGAGATGGACCGGCCCATGCTTATGTAGGCAGCCCCAGCGTGAGCCTAGGCAGTTCGCCCCATGTCCCACACTCTTACCAACCAGGGCAGTTCTCACACGCTGTCATGTGACCTTCAGAGACACTTGTACATTATTGGGATTCCGGGACCTCCCTCTACACACTGTCAGGGTGTTTGGGTGCAGGCTGCCGGGGGTGTTTGGGGGCAGCAGGGGTAGGGCGGGAAGGGGGAAGAGGTGGGGGTGGGCACTGGGCCTCAGCTCACCTCCTCCTGCAGAGTCTCCATCTCGGCCACCAGATGCTGCTGCTCCTTCTCCTGAACGGCCCCAGAGAGAGGACAAAGGCTCCTTCTGGGGCCTCCTTGCCCCCATATTGCCCTTCTCCCACCCCTGGGAACCCATCTCGGGTCTGGGTCCTGGAGGAGCAAGTCTGGGAGCCCTGAGGGCTCCTGCTGTCCCCTCTGTCACGAGAGGGGTGGCAAATAGATCTGGACCCTGAGTCTGGGGCAAGCAGGACCTGGAGTCAGGGAGGAAGCCAGGGTAACCTCTGCCCCTTCCCATTCCATTGTCAGGCTCTGTTGCTCAGACTCCAAGAAGGGGGGAAAGATGAGGGCACCTTTGTGCCCCTTGCCCAGAACCCACCGTCTGCCGGGCCTGGGCCAGGAGGCTGCGATTCTGTTCCTCCAGGCTCTTGGCCAGAGTCTTCAGGTCCTCCAGCTCCTCATCCACAGCCTTGGCACACTGCAGAGCCTGCTGGGTACTGAGTGGGGGTGGGGCGGGGGGGGCCACACGGAAGGGAAACAGAGACCAGAGAGACAGATCCACTCAGACAGTCAGAAGCAACAGAGAAATCCTGACAGGGACCTGGGAGTGGGGCACAGAGACCCAGAGGGAAAAGCAGGGAAAGAACCTAGTGTAGGAGACAGAGACCCAGTTTCTACCTAAAAGACTAAGGGGGTGGGACAGAGACCTGGAAAGAGCAGGAGACTAAAATAGGGGGAACATGACGGACATGAGAAAGATAGAGCACAGGGACAGGCATAGGCCGCTGATATGAAGACGCAGAGAAGAAGAGAGAAGGGAGACTGAACCCAAGAGGCTGAGAGACCAGAACCAGGGAGACACAAAAGAGAAAGAGGAAGAGCAGAAGGGGACAGTGCAGGGTCGAAGACAGGGCAGGAGGTGCAGGGAGAGCACGCAGAGAGCCCACCTGCGAAGCTGCTTGCGCAGGGCCGAGATCTCCTCCCCCAAGCGTGCAGACCCCTCCTCAGCTGTCTCCACGCTGCGCTGGAGCTTGGCGTTCTCCCCGGCCAGCCTGCGGTTGCTGAGCTCCAGGTCCTCCAGGCTGCTCAGCAGGTCGGCGGTGGCGGGCCTGGGGTCAGGGAGGGGCTGGTTACCGGCCACAGCCCCCACCTCCCTTGGAGGGGTAGTGGCGGTGGTGGGGAGATGAGGCTCTTCTGGAGAAAGAGGAACAGGACAGAGACTGCCCTGCTCTCCCGGGGCTAGCAGCACAGCCCCACCCCCACCCCGTCCCTCACCCACCCCTGAAGGACCCAGAGCCCTATGGCAGGGAGGCTGGAGAGCGTGGGCAGCAGGGAGGGCAGGTCGGGGAGCATAGGTACAGCTCAGGTCTGGGGTCTTCGCCTCCGAAGCTCTCCAGGTTGGCTGGCTCCTCGGCTTCTGGGCATCCTGGAGGGAGAGAGACAGAGGGTGGTGGGCTCCCCGGTGACCTTAGGCGTCGCGGAGCCCCAGGACTTGGGCTTGGCCTCCACTAGCCTCACCCTCGCATTTGCCCTGGGTCATCTCATCTGCTCCTGGGCTACGATTATATCCACCATCCGCAAGACCTCTTGCTCATTGGTACTCTAAGCTCAGGCTGGATCTCTCTTGTAGCCCTGAATTCATCACACCCAGCCCTAGGCAGCAGCACCTCAGCTACCCCCAAACCTGTCCCTCTTCCAGGTTTCCCTCCCCACCAACTCACCCAGCCACTGGGCTGTCCTGGCTCCCTTGCTCCTCCTCATCCCCACAGCGCCCCCCACCCCCAGAGTCCTGGCTCTGACCTTCTTCCCTGACTCTGTTCCACTCTCCTCTCTGTCGTGGCCAGTCCTGGCTCAGGCTTCTCCCTCTCCTCCTGGACCCTCACCACAACCTCATCCCCAGCCTCCTGGTCTCCTGGCCTCCTGGCCTCCAGCCTCCTCGTCCTATCCTTCCCCCACCCAGAGGGGTGTTTCCTCAACAGGAGCTGACCTGCCCCTCCCCTGGCCCCAATTGGAAGACGCTCAAGAGAATGTCAAGAAAGCTGTTTTTTAGGGGCAACTGGGTGGCTCAGTTGGTTGGGTGACTGCCTTTGGCTCAGATCATGATCCTGGAGTCCCAGGATCAAGTCCCACATCAGGTTCCCTGCTCAGTGGGGAGTCTGCTTCTCCCTCTGAACTTCCCCCCTCTCATGTGCTCTCTCTTTCATGCTCTCTCTCAAATAAATAAATAAAATCTTTAAAAAAAAAAAAAAGAAAGCTGTTTTTTAATTTTGTTTTGTTTTTGTAAGGTATAACAGGAACACTTTTTTATGGAACACCTCCTATTGTGTGAGGTTCTAGGGATAAAATGGGGAATGGATCAACTAACCAAACAACAGGGCAGGTAACTGAATCAGAAGGTCAGATTTCTCCAGGAAAGCAATGCAGGTCTGTGAGTGAGCCTGGACAGCCAGGGACCTTAGCCCGGGGTATCCCGGGGCTTCCCCAGGTGTGGGAAGTTTAGGGAGAACCATCTGAGCAGAGGAGCATGGTGGGCAGGCCCGCAGCACATTCCAGGCTGAGCCAGGAGGCCCAAGGGAGCAGGGACTAGAGAGTAGGCAGGAGCCCAATGACGCTGACAAGGAGAGGTAGGCAGGGCCTTGCATGCCTCAATGATAGGCCTGCAGTAGGGGGAGGACTTGGAACCAGACCCTGAAGGAAAAAAACCCCAAAGCTCAGAGAAGGTGGGGAGGCAGCCATGGAGGTGCCTAGAAAGCCAAACTCACAGCTCCAGGAGAGAGCAAAGGTTCCAGGGGTTCCACCCAATGCCCCTGGCTCCCATCCCCAGGTGGGAAGTCCCTCCCACTGTCTGACCCTGGGCCTGCCTGCTTCATTCTATATATAGTAGTCTTACCAGATGGCAGTTGCTGGGAGGTCAGGGCCCCCTTGAAGGCTGTCTCCTCTTCCAGCTCTAATCCCCTGTATCAAAGGGATGAGGCTTAGAGCCCCCTGCAGCCACCCCCAATCCTGACCAGCCACACAGGGGGATTGCTGGTGGCAGGAGGAGGGGCTGGGTCAGGTGAGAGCAGGAGCACTGAGAGCACCACGGTGGGGAGGAAGGCAAGGCCAGATGGCAAGAGCCCTAGGCCAGATGGAAAAGCAGGAGGGGCAAGGACTGGGTTTGGAGAAGGGATGGGGAGGGGCCTCTGTCAGCCCCCCAGCACCCCCACGTCTCCCTCTTCCAGCCCCTTTTATTTTTGCCTCCCCATCCCAGGAACTCTGTCTGCAGACCTTCCACCCCATCCCCCCAACCCCATCTCTTCACTTTTCTCTCCTCCTCAGCCTCCTTCAAACCACAGTTAGGTTCCTGTGCCCAAAGGGTGCTGGCAGCAGTAAGCAGGTGTAAGGTTAGATCTTAGGAAGGACTTCCCAGGGGAGGGTTGACAGTGCAGAGACCCACCCATCCAACTGACAGGCAGCGATCCAGTCCCGCATGACGGCCAGGAAGGTGTCCAAGTCCACAGTGGCCTGAGGGCCCTTCCCATTGGGGTCCAGGCTGCAGGCCAGTGTTTGGAGGCGTGCATCCTGGGGGTCCTGTCCTGTCACAGCCTCCAGATAGGCTAGTACGTGGGTCACAGCCACAATGCCTGGAGACAGAGCATGCTGTGAGGGAGTCTGGGGCAGGTGGGGGTAGGGGCAGGCGATGGCTTGAAAGTAGGAGGACCCCAGCGGCTGGGCTGGTGACACCCCTGCACCACGGCTTAACCCAGACACTTTGGGAAAGTCCTTCCCTTCCTCTGAGTCAAACTTTTCACCTGGAAATAGAGCCCAACCATCGTCACTCAGAGGGTGGACCAAAGAGGACCTGCTGTACCCCATCGGGCCCACAGTGGCTGCCCTCCCACATACCTCTCCCCACGCCCTACCCTCTTCCATTAATGTCCTCACCCTGAATGGCCTCCATCCTTTTATCCACTTCCTTTCTGAAGCTTCCCACAATCACCCACCTCGCCCTGCAGGTCCCCCAAGAAGGGGCCCTAGTCCATCCCTCTCTCTATGGCTCCCTAGTTCCCAGCCACCCTCCCCCATCCCTTATTACTACTCGTGTCTCCCAGGCCCACTGCTGCCTGGCCCCATTCTGCACCCCCAACCTGTCCTTTGGGTGTCACAAGCTTCGAATGTAGAGTTGAGTATTTGCTCCTCCAAGCTCAGCAGCGTCCCCAGACTCCCCTCCTCCAGCTGGTCCCAGAGGTACACTAGGGAGACAAGAGGGTCAGCCCGCCCGTGAGAAGGGGGACAAGAAGAGAAGGAGTGACCCTACTGCTCCTGCAGAGGGGAGGGAATTAATTCTGAGCTACTTGGAGTGGGGGCTGGTGGGGAACAGCAGGAAGCTTCAGGGAGGGGACAGCAACGTAAGGGTCTTTGAGTGGCTTCCTAGCTCCATACCCTGAGGATGTGGGCCCCATCTCTCAGGCCAGAAGTCCCCCCTGCTGTCTAATCCTTTGTGTCCAAGCCACTCAGGAGCCCAGATAACAAACAAAGGCTCTGAGATCACCTTTTCCTCATCTCTTCCCTTACCGCCCAGGCTCTGCTCAGAGGGGGCTAGGGGCGGAGGAGGGCAAAGAAGAGAGGATTCTGGGAGGAGCTGAGGGTGAAGGGCGGTCCCGGGAGCCAGGAACAATCCAATAAGGCGCGGGCAGCCTGGATCGATTCTGCCGGCTGCATCTCCGGTCTCCTTGCATGCCTGGGGGGCGGGGTCTCTCTCCTACCCGAATCCCCAACGAGGCTGGTGTCATTGGCGCCCACAGCCAGGGGCCCAAGATGAGAGGGGGTGGGTGATCTAGGTAAGGCAGGCGGTGGGGGAGCAGTTAGGAGCTCAGAGCCCAGCCATACAACTGTGGTCAAGTCGATTCTCCTTTCAGAGCCTCAGTTTCCCCACCAGTAAAATGGGCAGGTAGTGATCCCCCACCCCCAGGGCTGGGAGTGTTATGTTTGTGTATGGGAACAGCCCTCCCAACATACACATACAACGTGCATGTCCCCGGGTCTGTTTGTCCACTGCTGTATCCACAGTGCCTACATATAGTAAGCACTCAATAGATGCTCCAAGATACAGAAGATCCTCCACCCTTGGAGTTACTGGATTCCATGTTTCTGGGACTGTAAGTGACCTTCCAGGCTCCCTGCCCTGCCCTTGAACAACTGGGTATAGCAGCAGGCCCAGCACAGGCTGCTGGGTCTGACAGACCCAAGGGGCAACCCGAGCAAGGAGCATAGACTCTCTGAGCCTCAGTTTCTTCCTCTGGAAAATGGGGGTGTTCCCTCCCTCCTAGAGAAGAAGTGAGATAAAATCTAGAAAGGCCCTGGGCCCAAGGCCTGGCATGTGGTGGAGGCTCAATCACAGAGCTGAACATTTATCTAGCAGTTAGTAGATGCCCTTCCTCTTCTGGGGGTTTTCTATGGACCATGGTGGCTGCTATTAGCCCCACATTACAGATGAGAATATTCATTCAGTCATGGAGAAGTTAGGAACTTGCCCCAGGTCACCTGTTCAACATATGAATGCTCTTTTTTTTTTTTTTTAAAGTATGGGCTCCGTGGGGCGCCTGGGTGGCTCAGTCGTTGGGCGTCTGCCTTCGGCCAGGGTAGTGGTCCCAGGGTCCTGGGATTGAGCCCC